AGGGACGGCTAGCGCAGATAGCCCTCGTGTAGCTTTGCGCGAAACTCAAAAACAAACATCAATTTTAAAACAACATCTATACCTATTCATCACAATTTTAAAAATTGATAATTATATTCTTACTATTATATTTTTGATAGTCATCCTTTCTAGCGCTTGCAGATTCATCGCCATAATCCAGAACCAGGATTTCATGACTTAAAGTCATCTCGTCGTTGTATTTCTCAGATGGTAGCGCTCTCTTTCGACGGCCCCACGATTCGTAAACCTCCCTTCCAAGTCCACAAACCACCTATAGGTATTAAATTTTGTAAAAAATAAAATAGTGATGTAATCAAACCGATGAAAATATAATAATTTATGATAAAAAACTTTCTTAAACAAAGTTGTTGATTAATGCTAAACATGATCATAAAAGTACATGAGAAAATGATTTTGTTTCGATATATAATAAAGATTAGAATATCATAATGCATGGTTTCTTAGTAACTTACAAAGACTTAACACGAAATATAATTTATCAAATAAAAGCGACATTTCACGATAATTTTACAATACACTATATAATTTTCCATTAGATTGATTAAAAATCAGTGTATATCCACTTTGATGCAGCCAGATTCATAACAAAAGGACTACTTTAAGCCTAAAAAAACGAAAGTCAAGATAAGGATTTTTTTTTACTGATTTCACAAAAAGTCTAAAAACTTACAATTAACTTCAAACACAAATTTCCGTAATAACAGATATAAATTTCTCAACAGTATATGTCTTATGGTTTGGTTGTTGTTACACGTGAAGCTACACTATAGACTATCTGTGCTGTGCCTACCACGGGCATCGAAACCCAGTAATAGCGTTATAAGCCTCCAGGCTTACCGCTATAACTAATATTTGCATTCAGTTTTGACGAAATAAGAAAAATGTTTATGATAACTTAAGCACATGAGTAACTTTCACTTTTGAATTACGCATGTGTGTGTTTATATTCATTCTATATTAAAAAATCGACAAGTCATCTTATTTTTTAAATATGAATAAATTAGGCTTCTACTCATTTTTTCTTCACTAAAATTCACAATTTAGTGAGGAAAAGAATTTCACATTTTGTTCATCATCTGATAACTGTTGTACTTCATTCACAAGATTCAGGATTGAATAAACATGGTAACCACCTTTGTTTTTAAAAATGTTCACCAAAACTGACAGATTGGCATTTTACATATCGCCAAGTTACTGATGATAAAGGGGTAGGTATTAAACACTTCCGATTTTGTCTTAAGATGTTTAGAGGTCAGGTTAAAAGATATTAGTTCCAGTAAATACCTTAATTATTGCACATTAGAAAAAGGAAAGATTTCTACTCATATGTAGATTAAACTTTAGATACGTTTATTTATACTTGTAAGTAAATACAATTTATGATTTAAAATGTTGTAGATATTTGTTTAGTAAATAAAACTTAGCTTACGATAATATGGGAGATTTTTTATCAAGTTTAATGTTAATCGCATGGCTTCTATTTGTCTATCTTATTAAATACGACTATCTTAGCAGAATTTGAACAGAAAATTAGTCAATTTGTAGCATAATCAGTTGGAATTATTTGTGTTGTGTTGTGTTTTATTAATTATTATTTTTTGTGTTTCAACGTAGCTCATTTTTGTACGGTTTTTTTTTGTTGTTGTTGTTGTTGTTGTAAACGAATTTTTTTTTACCACCCATGTAAGTAACATATTCTCATTCTGTTGAAATGATATTATTTTAGATGCCCTGTGGACAATACAATTTTCCCTCGTTTCGTTCAAAAAGGCAGTGCGTTGGAGAGTACGTTTGATGCTTTTCGTTTTACAGAGTCGTACGGAGTGATCTTTCAGTGCAATGTAAAATACTGTATCGGCAAATGTGAACCGGTGAGTGTTTATATAAATTTAGAAATACTTCAACAGAATAATTATCGGCTAATGATGTTATTATTTCATTTTTAAATTTAGCCCTGATGGGCGTTTTACGACGTATCCTACTTTCCCCCCGTAAACCGCAAGTTGCTTTTGAGCTGAAAACATTTTAACTGTTTTGCAATGCTTAATAAGATTGTCTCGTAATTTTGGCAGAGTGTCAAGCATAATACGATATTGACCTTATAGCCCTTCGCATTGAGCTCTTAATAATACTTAATTAATACATCAAAACCAAACAAACTGGTCGAATTACACCACTATACGAATCCCTCGTTATTTGTTTCGCTCTTTCAAGCACCATTGATGAACCGTGAATTCTGCGAAACTAGTCTGCTGTAGCGGAAGTAGAGAATTAAACAGGTTACTGATGATAAAAGGTAGGAATTAAACACTTTTCAGATTACTGATGATAAAAGGTAGAAATTAAACACTTTTCAGATTACTGATGATAAAGGGTAGGAATTAAACAATTTTCAGATTACTGATGATAAAAGGTAGGAATTAAACACTTTTCAGACTACTGATGATAAAGGGTAGGAATTAAACACTTTTCAGATTACTGATGATAAAGGGTAGAAATTAAACAGTTTCTACTGATGATAAAGGGTAGGAATTAAACACTTTTTAGGAATTAAACACTTTTCAGATTACTGATGATAAAGGGTAGGAATTAAACACTTTTCAGACCCTTTATCATCAGTAATCTGAAAAGTACTTCTCCCATCTTTTGCCATAGCCACACAACTTCTAGCAAATATTCCATAAGGCGCTAAATGAAGAAAAATAAAACTGTTAATTTAATAAAACAGTGATAAGATTTAATGAAAGATTTATAATTATATGTCAGTGAGATATATATAGAATTAATTTAATTTAATAAAACAGTGATAAGATTTAATGAAAGATTTATAATTATATGTCAGTGAGATATATATAGAATTAATTTTAAGATATAAAAAAAACATTTTTTTGGAAACTAATAATCATATATTTATATATACTAGCTGGAGTTATGTAAATTCATGATTAATGAAAGGTTATTTTAGGACATGAAAAGTTGCTTCCCTTATATGTAATTGTAAAAAACGAAAAAACGCCCATAAAAACCGCAAAACACAAAATGTGAAACTACAACTGTGCATGTATCTCCGCATGGACCTAACAAACCTTCATGCCCGATTTGGTGAAGATCCGTCGACAGGGGGCGAAGTAGTGGTAAAATACACAAAAACGTCCATAAAAATTGCAAAACACAAAACTAAAAATTTATAAGCACTCTCGTATGGATCTAACTAACCTCCATACCAATTTTGGTGAAGATCCATCCACACCCTACGAAGTAGTTACATGGACAGACAACAGACAGTACTATTATATTTATACAGATACATACGTACGTGTGTATATGTACATATATATATATTAAAGAAAGAAGATCTGTAGATTTACAAAATGTTTCCACAAATTTCCATTGGAACTACTATATATATACTTCTCTCATTTTAGTCGTTACAAGTTATAGGTTGTACCCTAGTTTTATTTACCAGTCTTTTATGTGTGACACATTTTGCTCTCGGAATTCCTGTTTGAATAGCTGTATATATATTTTGATAATAGGTATATAAATAGACAGAAACAAGTGTCTTTGTGTGTTATAAAGTAACAGAAAGGATATAAACTTACAGTTGCCTGGTATTTCGATGAGGAAAGTTAATTTGTCTCCGATTCTTACTGTTGTTGCCTCTCTATTGTTGGAACCCAGAATGGTGATGGTTGGCATCGGGGCTTGTGGAGAAGCTGTTACTTGCATAGTGTCTGGGTCTCTGGAAATGATAAGATCTCACATTTTATACAACTGGAGACTTGTACACCATATAACAATGTCTGGAAATGATAAGATCTGACATTCTATACAACTGGAGACTTGTACACCATACAACAATGTCTGGAAATGTTAAGATCTAACATTTTATACACTGGAGACTTGTACACCATACAACAATGTCTGGAAATGTTAAGATCTAACATTCTATACAACTGGAGACTTGTACACCATACAACAATGTCTGGAAATGTTAAGATCTAACATTCTATACAACTGGAGACTTTTACACCATACAACAATGTCTGGAAATGTTAAGATCTAACATTCTATACAACTGGAGACTTGTACCCCATACAACAATGTCTGGAAATGAAAAGATCTAACATTCTATACAACTGAAGACTTGTACACCATACAACAATGTCTGGAAATGTTAAGATCTAACATTCTATATAACTGGTTAGCCTGTCTACGTCACAGCAGTGCCTTTATACATTCTATATAACTGGTTAGCCTGTCTACGTCACAGCAGTGCCTTTATACATTCTATATAACTGGTTAGCCTGTCTACGTCACAGCAGTGCCTTTATAAAAATATTCACTTTAACTTTTCTGTGAGAAATGGTTTGCTAAGTTCCTGAAAAATGGATAAATTATTTAGAGTGTAAACGAGGTTTCTGGTGTAAAAATAAGAAATAAGCAGTTAATGAACAAAAATTATAGCATTTATTACTTAATCCCACCTATAGATGGGGTTGTAGCTCTATTGCTTTTCACCATAATTTATATATATATAAACACTTGATTTATTTCAGTACTAAAACAGTCGTTACAATTTAACGTTGATAAATCTTCCTACAGTGTTTTATAGTATTTTAAACTTATCAAAATAGTATTTATCGTTTTCGGTTTGTTTAATTTTCAAAATTATCTTCTTTTACGTTACAGTACTCATTACTTGTACCGTTCGATAAATTATTTTAAACATTTAAATTTTTATATGTTTCCTTTTATTCAATCTATTACCTAGAACAATCTCTAAAACGAATGGCTTTTGACCAAGTGTTTAAAACCTTAAGTAAGAAATATTGTCAAGAGAGGGCGTTTCTTACCTCACAGGCATCATCCCGAAAGATACGTTTTTGGAGTTAGTATCGTACGTACATTTGATGTTGTAAACCTTGTCAGCCTTTGTCATTACTACACCATGATGTTGAAGAACGATTGTATTTGTGTAGACTCCACTCTAGAGTATATGAAATATTCATTAGGTAGGAATTGAACTTTAACGATGAATAAAAGTACAACAGCAACAAACGTATAGCAACTGAGAAGCGGAAACTGACATTTATGGAATATGCATATTCGATCTCCAGAAATTGATATTTAAAAAGGTATAATATGAAGTACAAAGATTTATAAACTTACAAAATTCCAACGTTTCACGAAAATGTATTAAAATACGAAATGTCAACTGTAAGGTCTCCCGGGTGGGACAGCGGTAAGTTTACAAACTTACAGCGCTAAAATCCAGCGTTCGGTTCTCCGCGGTAGAAACAACAAATAGTCCAAGTACATTTGCTCCAAAAAAAAACAAATTCTGAGAAATAACACATGTTTAGGTTGTTTTAAATGAGGTATATAACTCCGCAAAAAACAACAACAACCCAAAAACTGTATTATTGTAACATATAGGGTGTTCCTTGCACGTCTCCTAATTATTTTTTTTTCGTTTAAGTTATATTTAAATGTTGGATTTTATAAACTTAGAAATATTTGTACTTTATATTATTCTTTATATATATATATAGATTCTTGCCGTTTTAATTTTATTTATCAATATAAATTATATTTTATAATTAAATTTTTTGGTTTATTTGGAATTTCGCGCAAAGCTACACGAGGGTCACTGCGCTAGTCGTCCCAAATTTAGCAATGAAAGACTAGAGGGAAAGCAGCTAGTCAACACCACTCACCGCCAACTCTTGGGCTGCACTTTTTAACCAAAGAATAATGGGATTTACCGTCAAATTATAACGTCTCGCCCCCAGTAACTCAGTGGTATGTCTGCGGACTTACAACGCTAGAAACCGATACCCGTGGTGGGCAGAGCACAGATAGCCCATTGTGTAGCTTTGTGCTTAATTACAAACAAACAAACAATAACGTCCCCCACGATTTAAAGGGAAAGTATGTTCAATGACGGGGATTCGAACCCGCGACCCTCAGATTGCAGGTCGAGCGCCTTAACCACCAGGCCCTATTTTGTTTGTTTTTTTGTTTTTTTTTGAGAAAAGGTTTAGACAAAGCAGAGTGTACTAGGAAGTGTTTGGTCGACGTTTCGAACTTCTGATGAAGATTTTCATCAGGTTCCAGACAGATGTAGTCCATTAATAACGCCTAATTTACATTTTATTTTATCAAGTATTTTTATAATTTTTACATTTATTGTAAGATAAGTAAAAAAGCAAAAAAAAAAAGCTGGTTGCTACTTAATAGAATTTTTTTTATTATTATTTACCAGTGACTGCGTATTACAATCCTGTCCGGTCAAAGAAACATCAAGTCGAAATTTCTGGCCATTCAAAATGTTGGAGTTACACGTCTCACTTCTTCCCAAGGCATAGATTCGACCGTGGAAAGGTTGGTTAGTATTTATAAATACAATAATATTTCTGTCTGTGCATTGTAGAGTCACTAGAGAAAAAATAGCGTTACTAAGATGAAAAAGATATTGAAAGCAAAATCAAAATCATGAAAGTGAAACTCAAGAACTAAAGCTACCATTCACAACAAAATTATAAAGTTTATAAAAACAAATCCGAATATATAAATTAATTCACTATCGTGCCAATAACACATACTCAAAACAAAACAAACAAAAAAATATACATTTGTCAAGAAAGTACAAAAGGTTTAATTTATAAAGGCAAATGTCTGCATTACTAGCTCCCAAAAACGTTGCGGACATCAAGTCTGTCAGACATAATCCAAAAAACGCAGAAGAAGAAGAAGACAAGTAGTAAATAAAATCGTATTGAAGTTAGGTCTTGGATGCTGTAACCTACAACGTACTAAAACCTACTACCACACACCGTCCGCCGCCGGTATCCATCCCTAAAAACCGTTAAAATGATGTTAAACTTAGGCCTAAGTATTTTTGTTGTTAAAACTAACTTTAATTGCTACGTTTGTTAAATCACCCAACCTTCACCTATAAACAATTACAGAAAGATAATAAGAACTATAAAACCCTTACCTACATGGTGTAGTGATAATTAAAATATGTGCATGTATGTAACATACACAACCGAATTTATTTATTACATACAATATTGACCACGTTATAATAATGCATTAAACGGTGAAGAAAACTTTATGAATCAGAATTAAAGATATTTAATGGATACTATAGTACCACTGTTTTTGAAGATTTTACAATAAATCAAAAATGTGGAAAAATAATTTTTTTAGAACGTTTGTAACTTATGTTATATTTGTTAAACTGTTGTAAAATCTGTGAATAATACGCAATGAACTTTGACATCTGAAATTAGACAGTATGTACAACTCACCAGTATGTGAATGGACACCCACTCCAAAAACAATGATGTTTTTGTGCGTGTTTTTTTTTAAAATTAAATCTACATGAAATAAAAGGAACAACTGTATTATGAGTATTTACTGGATCTACATTTGCAATACTGCATCGTATTTACAAAATCTAAAGTTTAGGCTTGGCGAAAAAGTGGATGATGGTATCCATAGAAGTTGGTTATTTAGGACGCTTTCGCGGGAAATGACCAATAATGGACCACACATGTTTGTGGCCATGAGAGGATGGTAATGCCTTGAGCTTCAAGCTATCGTTTGGTGACTCGGTTTGAATGATTAGAAGCCCCGTCTTGCATGAAAACAGTACCTTACCTGGTAATCTGGTCACTGGTGTAGACAAATAGGTGTTGTTCATGAAAACACTACCTTACCTGGTAATCTGGTCACTGGTGTATACAGATAGGTGTTGTTCATGAAAACATTACCTTACCTGGTAATCTGGTCACTGGTGTAGACAGATAGGTGTTGTTCATGAAAACACTACCTAAATGGCGGAGCAGCTAGATGAAAGTCGCTCCAGGTTATATCTTACATCACCAACGTTTAGTATCACACCATACTGACCTTTGGGACACTGTTATTTCTTCCGACCAGTCTAGATTTACTCAGTTCCTGGGCACTGGACGCACCTGGGTTTGGCGACTATCCGCCCAGGAACTTTAGTGAAACAGACTGCAAGCCACGAAAAGATACAACGGTATTGCTATTTTAGTGTAAAGTGCCATTTGGCAAGGTAATGTTTTCATGAACAACACCTATCTGTCTACACCAGTGACCAGATTACCAGGTAAGGTAGTGTTTTCATGAACAACACCTATCTGTATACACCAGTGACCAGATTACCAGGTAAGGTAGTGTTTTCATGAACAACACCTATCTGTATACACCAGTGACCAGATTACCAGGCATAGGCCATGCTATAGAGATAACTACTGATGGCTGTTGGAGCACACTTGAGCCTGTCCTGCATCATTAGCGGCTGTTCTACGTTGGTCATTTTCCACGATTCTCCTCACAAAACAAAAAGTCTGTTCTGTTGGTTTGGAGCACAATGACTGTGTATAAACTGTTGTTTTCTGACGTGACTGAATCTGCACAGTCACCCGGATCACTGTGGATATCTCGCTGACCATGACCAACCTCCTATCGTCCAACTAACGACCTTGTGAAAATACAGTTAATTCTCGAGGAACTTTTGTTCGTGGCATGGATGTTTGTATTCCGTAGTGTTTATTGAGCTATAATAGGGGTTATTTGTTTTTAATATCATATATATCGATTTGTATTTTCGGGGATCTCTGTTTACTTATTGGTAGGTTGTGTAGATACGAAAATAATCATCTTCTGTTTCTACTGGTTATTACTTTAATACGTTTAAGCTGGTTTTATTTTATATTTAGTTTAAGTGAAACTTACCATCGTAACAAAATCCATAAGCATCACATGCTGGGTCCACGTTATCAGCAGTGATTAACGATGACTGTGTCGTATCTTGGAATCCAGGGGGCACTTTTACATCAATTGAACCACTGCCTGTTTGGTGTCTTGAAGTGCCATCTATAACAAAACATGTTGAATTAAGATGACGTCTTAATCCATTTGAGAAATCATATTCTGTTCTTTGTTAATAACTATTATTTTTTATTTATTCACTTTTTTTTTCCAAGTTACTGCTTTCTCATCAGAAAAAATATTTCGCAAGCTAATTAGAAGATATGACGTTTCATTTCATTACGTTCCTCAAGACATTATAATAATTTTTTTAAAACCTGCTACTGTATTACTCGTGAAAATTCCAGAGAAAAACCACAAGTAAAAAACTACTTTGTACACCTTGCTTTTAGTGACCATTTAGATGTTGTTGTTTTTTCCTTTTAAATAAACCCATTCACCTAATCCTGAGAGTTCTCAAATAAAATCTTGAACCGTCATTTAGGGTGTCCCAGTTTGAAGTTTATGCAAATCTAAACGTGGGAACTTAATTTGAATAATTCCTTACATAATCATGCTAATTTTCATGTAATTATGTGGATCCAGTCCTGAGATTCTCCAGAAACCCTTTGTTTGGGTTGGGGGGGGGGTCACAGTTTGAAACTTGCAGAATCGGAATTTATATTATTCCTTTGAACGGCTCCACACATGTTACTACCAATGTTCCAGTATATCAGTTCAGAAAAACCAGAGAACTCCCAAAAACCTCCTTTGAAGATCCATATGGGGAATCCATTTTGGAAGTTTCCAAAATCCTAATTCAGATTTTCCTTTTGAACAACTCCTTACAAATTAATACCAATTTTCTAAAAAGTTAGTACAATCAAACCTGAGAGCCCCCCCCCAAAAAAAAACAACAAAACAAACAAACTTGATTTCATGTAGCCCTCTCACGACTCTTGCGATATTTCCCCTCCCTTTTTTATATATATATATTTTGTGGAGGTTACAATAGTGTAAGCAAAAATTAAATTATTTTTATGAAACATTATGGGATAGGTTGTAAAACCCGAAAGTTTAAATGCATTCACAGGTACAATTGGGGATTACTACATATATATATATATGTAAATATATACATTTGTCAAGTTTTGAAGAAGTGAAAACTGTGTCCGGGGGATTCGAATACTCTACTCCGTTTCGGTGCCTTACAGGTTTAGCCAACAAATGTAAAATTCTATATTCAGAGAATCATGCGCCACCTTAAGAATTTCTACAATTAAAATATTTAAAAATCGACATAGAAAAATCGGATTATGAGCTTTATATACTAACTGGATGTTTGTAACCAGTAGTTCAAATCATTATCCCCTGAAAAGGGGTTAAGATGTTATGTTTTTCAAATGCCAATACTTCCTTTTTTTTGGAGGGGGGGGGTATTTGTCTAGAAAATCAATCCGCATGGATATACTCCTGTTTCGTGAATTTTTGTGGCTCCAAACTTATTTTGGCTATTGAACACAGGGTAATTTTATTAATATGTCGTACTATATATATATATATATAGTTAAAACTGAAAGTGAGGGAGAGAAAGTCTCGCGCTTCGAATAAGCAATGCTGAAAACAGTGAAAAGTTGCCAAAAATCCAAAGGGTCACACAATTTTCGTGACTTCTGTGAGCGTGTATCTGAAATTTATCGTGAAGCGGAGGAGTTAAAGCATCCGCCTACTGACTAGATTCGCGAGTTAGAATTCTACATGGTATTTTATTACTAACCAGAGTCGCGGGATTGAATCCCACATAGTATCCTACACCTGTTTAAATTCGCAAATTTAAATCCTGCGTAATATTCTACTACTGACCAGAATCACGGTTTTGAATGTTGCATGGTATTAATTTTCACTTCTTCAAAATAGTTCACTTTCAGAGAACGGAGAGGTCACTCTTAAAGTTTCTACTTTGTTTTAAAGAGTTACTGTTATATAGTAGGTAACCAAAAATGGTTTGGTTGAATCAAATAATTGTTTACTTTTTTTTTGTCAACGTTAGACTCCATTTAATAACGAAAGTGATTCCAACTTACTTCCACAAATAGCTTCTAAGTAGACTCCAACAGTGCTTCTATTGTCTAATAGAGGGGGTGGGTTTGGATTTAAGTAAGTTTTAGCGCCATCTGGAAAGGTAACGTGATCTAAGTGGTATAAACCACAGTTGGGCTGTCTGGGGCGGACGTCATAACGAAAGAGCATGGAACGACATATATATTCATTTTCAATGCTGCACAGCCGCAAACAGTCTTCTTCGTTGTTAACCTACAAAATTGAAATTAGTTTTATGTAATTTTTATTTCAGAAAAAAAAGTGTCTTGGAAATAAAAGTTTGTTTCAATAAAATTCCTTTGTATGGATAGAATAAGGCCAAGATACCTCGTTCATCTGCCCTCTAGTGTTGTGTTGAGTAATTAATTGTTTTTCACTCAATATTACGTTATCACAGTATTTAAGCGTAATATTTGGAAAATGCGTCGATGGTTGCTAAGGGATGTTGTGAGATAGAGAATTAAATGTTCAACTGCTCTAGATAGAAGGTGAGTTAGCGCTTTAATGTAACTAAAAATTAATAGTTTAGTTTAACTAAACGATAGAAGGAATAATAAATGAACGGTAAACAAACCATAACAAACTTCCTCTAGCGGTGAAAAAGTTGTGAAAGATTATGTAGATTTATGGTGATATAAAATCACATTAGATGTGACCTCGTGATCTAAACACTAAATATAAAGCCTTCCTTGATCTTGAAAACGAGTTATTGTTAGATATTGCTTGATATTAATCTTGATATCGAGAAGTGTTTAAATTTTGGAACAGTTTGTTATTCTATTTTTCCTAATTCCATTTATTTTATTGAAATTAATGGCATTGATATTTATGTTGTATTGTTTATTAATGTTTGAACGTAGTCCTGGCCAGCCACGGGTTTCCTGTTTTTGTTTTGTTATTGTTAGGGATAAAATTTGTATTTTAGTTATTTGAAAGTTTTATATTTTATTTTTATTGTTATATCTAATAAAATGTTTTTATTTGACTCTAGTTATAGTAGCGTGTCGTATAGTGTAAGTTAATAACACAGCTTTAACCCTTTCCACCCTGACAGTTTCTTCGATCGAGCAAAATTGATTGCGAGAAACAAACTTAAAACTCGAACACATTAGTGATGATTACAGACCGATTTTAAGAAAATTGAACGTAAAAACAATTACTCATGTAGGCCTAATGTTAATTCAGGTTGTTATATTGCATAAACGGTAGTATGTATATAATGTTATATAAGGGACATAAGACGATAACATTTTAATGTATATTTGTAATAATTCCATAGGCCTATATTATTGTTACCCTTAAAAGTTTCTAATCTTTTGAAAAATTATATCAAATTTCTCATTGATGATAATAATAATCAATAACAACGATAATTAATCATAATAATATTATTATAGAAACAGGATTAAAAAGTTTAATAACATTAAGAAGAATAAATCAAACTCCAGTACTGGTGGCGAAAAGTTTTTCGGAATAATGGTCCTTCAGAATATTGGTCTGTCTCCTCAGTTAATAATACAAGCTGCCTGAAGGGGTGGCGTTAACGGTCATCAATGGACCTCCTAATTCTAGGCCAATTCACACACACACACACACACACAAAATATAAAGTTCTCCAATGTTAAGAAATGGAAAATGTATATTCGAACCTATTCGAACTTGTCAATTTGTGAAATAACTTAGCAGGTATAGGTATAGGTATATTCGAACCTATACCTGCTAAGTTATTTCACAAATTGACAAGTGGCATTCGATGTTTAAAATATTGCCGCTTCCTTAAGATACCCAACTGTTCCCACCCAACAACGAGGCCCTAGATCCCGTCCCTAATTGCTTGCCTAAAAAATTCCGTAAAAATACTTGATGGATAAATACCAGTGTTCTTCAATACCACATAGTTCCTGTTAAGCCTAATCAACGACAATTTTTTTAAATTTTAAATCATTAAATAAGCAGCAGGAATAAAATATTAAAAGACAAAGGTTTTGCTTTTATCATTTATAAACTAACATTTCGTACATATAAAACATATACATATTCTTTAGCACTTTGCACGTTAACGATTATAAAACCTTAGGCCTTTCGGGTGGTAAACAAATGATTTTAAGAAATGCCACAATTAGCACACCAGAATTAGTGAATATGTCAATCATATCGTTACGACAGCGGAAGTCACGTGACGCTAGTAACACGTCATGAGATCCTAGAAGGATCTTGTCTGTTCGTGGCAACTCTGGTC